GTGTGTGTGTGTGTGTGTGTGTGTGTGTGTGTGTGTGTGTGTGTGTGGCAGCAAGGTAAATCGCAGCAGTAAATCGCAGCAGTAACTCCCTGCGATAGCACCAGTCTGTTTCAAAATGTGCTCTGCCACGTGCCTCCTGGTTCCCTCGAGGAACCGGATCTCTTTTTTTATCCAGCTCACGGCACAAAGGCCACACCGCCTCTAATACAAAAAGGAGTTGTGGCGTTTTAGGGAGGACCCCGCCTGTCCGAGTCGCTGTAGGTAACCGGTCCACCAGACTCATATTTGGGTCAGCGCCACAGTCCCGCACTCCATGGCTCCCTGACAGCTCCCAGTAGGGCCCCGACATCTAATTAAAATCAGTCACCTTCTGAAGTTCGAGCACGAGGAGCCGATCCACCGCTCCGGGAGCGAAACAGAAGAGGAGGGACCTGACATCTTCCCACCTCCGTCTGTTAGTCACATTTGTGCTATGTGTTGGTTACCAAGCCTGTCGAGCGTCCTGTTAGAGTCCTGTTTGAAACAACGGGTGTTCGATTATCAACACAAGCAGCGTCTCATTCGATTCCTTGATTTTGCCGGCTGAAGTGATGACCTCTGATTTTATCAGCTGTAGCTCGCCAGCTAGCTAATTAAGCTAACATTAGCTCCAAAGGTCGGTCGGACTTTCCATCGTTCCCGGCTGACTCGCGTTGAAAGGTGAATCTTTTATAAGGTGGGGTTGAGGAGCAGATGGAAAGAAACAAAAAGCAACGGTAAATGTTTTTTCCTTTCGGTGATTATTGTGTAAGCGGTTATAATTTGCAGGCATCCTTTTTGGATTTGGTTATTTCCTGAAATACAACAAGGAATGGGCAAAATCTCAAGCTTTTGATGATGATGAATTTACCTGAACCATAAAAACAAGTCACATGAGAAAAAACTGCACTTAATTATCCTATTTTTGGATTCGCAGATTCCCCAGATTTCACCCTGAGGGAACTGCTGCAGAAAATTCTCCACACAAACACACACTGGTTCGTTTTGAGGACATCTTGAAAGTTTGCCTAATGGAGCTTGTTAAGCCAGTTAAATTCAGGATGAATTAACTTATCTCGCACAGATTCAATCTGACAGTGCGTTCGCAAATGTGTGTTCATGCTCCTCTATAAATCCCTCCTTTGATCAGTTTTCTTTCTTTTCCTTTTTTTTTCTTTCTCGCTCTCTTAACCTCGGTTACGTGTCCTCTCCACAACCTTCCCCGTTCCTCACGCCGTTGCATCTCATCCACACTGACCTTTTTGACTTCATGTTCTATTCATAACCGTTCCTCCTTTCGCCTGTGCAATTTTAGCCTCATCTGTTTAGTCCTTGCTTTCTTTTCTTCGGTTGGAAATCTGCCGTATTCACCCGACTTCGGTCCGTTAGCGCTTCATCTTTACTCGGGTTTACCTCTTCCTTCATCTCTGGTTTAGTCTCCACGCTCATCAACACCTCCTCTTTCTTTTCTGACGCTTTACGGCCTTGCCCTCCCTGACCTCTCCTCACACCTGTTGTTTGTCTCACTCTCCAATTAACACTTGTCTTCTGTGAATCGATCGGAGCTCCTCAGCTTTCCTGCTCCACAATCTGTGGCTGGAGGGATCAATCAAATCAAAGTACAACCGCACAGGAAGACATTCTCACTTCCTGCTCTTTTCCTCGGGCAACAAAGATAAATCATACTGAGATAAAAGGCATACACAGTGAGAAATGCATACCCATCTTATTAAATAAATAAAAATGTCAGCACATCCAGTTCAATTCTAGGTGAAGCCCACACTACATCCTTGTGTAAATGTGGCACTACCGAGCCAAGCTAGCCTTTTCCAGTCGTTATGCTAAGCTGGGCTAACCAGGTTGTTCATATTGACATATAGAGGGGTATCAATCTTCTCACCTAACGCTCAGCAACAAAAGGGAATATGCATATTTCAGCCTGGCACATGTGAGAATAATATATAAAGGGTTACAGCAGCATTACTACAGTAAACTAGCAGTAGATATTGAGTTACTTCTAGCACTCTTAGAACAAAATTCTGCTTTTCTTCGTCACAGTTTAATCTCAGCAAAAATGTGCTACACTAAGTAAATATCTCTTGCGTCTCCACTCTTAGTTATCCTGAAAAAAGCAATTGTTTGCAGATGACAGAAGTATTTACATTCACAAAAAATTATGAACTTCTTGTCTGCGTTAGCGGCCAAGCTAACAAGCTTGCTAACTGGCAAGTTAATGTCTATGTTGGCATCAACGACAGCCCCCTAAGAGGTTGTCCTTTGTGAATTTAAAGGCATAGTTCTCCCCCCAAATCAAAAATACACATTTTTCCTCTCGCCTGTATTGCTATTTATCAATCTAGATTGTTTTGATGTCAGAGTTGTTTGTCTTCTGTCCAATATCATATGACTATATGCTTCAGTTTCAATTCCTACATGAAATTCAACTTAATGTATTCTTTATGCGCTTTGAGCCGAGTGCCATTTAGTTGTATTACAATGGAGAGAAGGCAGACATCTCTACAGCTGATATCTCCAAAACTAGCCGCCTCACACCAAAACAATCTAGATTAATAAGTAGCGCTGCAAATAACAGGCAAAATATGTATTAAGTTAAACAGCAATTCATTCAGTCAGCAAACAAAACATTCTCTCTCTGAAACTCATGCCACCAAGTTTGAACACTGTTTACCACCTTGAATGATGCCATTATGACATTGTGTATAGTTTTATATTTACAGGAATACAGTAATTAGAATATGTTCTGTAATATTAGAACACCCATGTCTTGAGTATTTAACCATGACCAACAGTCAGTAAGTCTGAAATGTGTTGTTTTGTTGTATTTGTCCTTTCTTTAACCTCAGAGCTTCCTGTACACATTTAACTGGCTGTCACAGAGGTGTCCTGTCAGCGTCCTCACATCCTCAGCCCTAATGTCAGTGGACTAACATTAAACTGTGCTGTGCCTCACCCACAGCCACCATGACCTCACACCGGCCTCAACAGAAAACTCTCACATTCACGCACAACCACACAGACACGGATCAATGCCTTTCTGTTTGTCTGTCCGTCTCTCACTCTCTGTTAAGCCTTCCAATCCTCTTTGCTGTTGATTTGACTTCACTGCATGCCATATCTCCCTTTTCCAAAACGCAGCCCTACGCTCACATCTAGGCCAGCACGCCGCTGACCCAGGTTAATGAGACAGATGGCGGGGTGGGCTCCTTGCTGCGACGGTGGAGGCCGTGGGTGACGACTTTCTGCCCCTTGACTTCTGTTCTCAATTCTGCGGTGGAAAGGGAAATGAGGAAAACTGTTCCGCTACTGCGAGGTAAAAGTTGCGTTACTGGAGAGAATAAATGTACGAAGCAGGCTCGCAGCCCATCACGAAATTAACAGGGACGAGATGAAATCACGGCTCGGAGAGAAAACGATAGGCTTTCTATTCATGGAGAGGAAGAGGTACGTGTTGTTTTCTTCACCGCACGTTAAAGTGGCTTTATCTGCTCTGCCTATCTGTGGTGCTGATGGAGTAATTCACCACAGTCTGCTCAGCTCCCACTCTGCCTGGGACACAATCACAGCTCTGATCTAACTGCTCCCAATAGTAATCACCCCACCCGAGCCAGCGTATTATTGAATCATCACACCATTTTTACATTTGCATCATCTCCTTGTTCCCTCACATTTTCTTTTTTTTCCGGTCACCTTAAAGCTGGTGTGTAGGCAACTTTGGAGGAA